GATATACTACATTTAGCCGTCCTCCCAATCAAGATCCCCAAGACCGCCTTAGGGTTGTTGGTGCTACCTAGCCAATCGAGGATTTAATTATTTATCTTTAAAAATAAATATCTAATTAATAATAATTTTAAATAATTTACTTATATAATCTAATTAATTTTTTTTTATTTTAAAGATGTAGCTTTTATCAATATTGTAAAAAAAAATAATAATAAAGAATCCACAAATATTTAATAAAAAATTAATATAAATAATAACTATATACTTTTTTTAATAAATCTTAATTATTTTAATAATTAGTAATTTTTTTTTTTTTTTTTTTTTTTTTTTTTTTTTTACAAGTGGTCATGCTGTACTTTATTAAAAATGGAAATAATTACATATGCAAATGCTATACTATTTCTGATACTATGTATCTTATCAATTTAAAGTACAACTCATCCGGTTATCATAAGTACCTATATGTGACCTGAAAGACAGAATTCGTTTCAATGCTTGATTAGACCTTTTGGTTTTTCCAAAAAAATCATTAATTGGTTTCTGTAGCCTGTCATGACCACCTCTTTTCCTTTAAATTTCTTCCACCTAGATCTTGGCAGAAAGATTTTTTTAAAACTATTTCTATAATGAAGCAAATAAAAAAAAACTAAAACAAGAAAGGGAAAGAGTAAAAGAAGAAGAAAAGGGAATAATAGCAAAAAGAGGAAATATACTATGCAACCTAAATGAAAAACCTAAGTATAAAGGATAAAGATAAAAAAAAACAAAAAAAAAAGAAGAATGACATGACATACAAATAAGAAAAGTGCACTATTATAACCTGTGCAAGGCTAAAAAATTATATACTAAATTGCAACTTTTAATATATCTCTACTGTAAAGCTTCACTTTAACGTTTGAGGTTCTTTCCGAACACATAACTGATATCAGATATCTTCTAGATAGGCACCAGATTCATCTCGTATCATAGCACTATGTTGGTCAACAAAACAAACACGTAGTTGCATTCTACTGAGTACGTCCCAATTAAGTAAGTGTAAACAATGCTGATCTTTTAGAGAGGGTAAGCTGTTTTGCCCACTTTTGTCAAAATTTTGAAGGACTAGGAAGCAGCGGGAAAGTAGAAAAATGAAACCACTTGTATAAAAATTTTAGGTATTAAGGAGAGTAGTTTACTAGCCAAAAATCTACTATATTTAACATGGAGCTTCTTCTTCGGTAAGTGATAAACTCTAAGCCTGTCGGCAAGTAGCATATGAGAACTACTTCTAAACGACAAGTGCCATCCCTGCAGTAAGTGATAAACTCTGAGACTATCGGCAAGTAGCATATGAGAACTACCTCTAAATGATAGATGCTGTCTTATGGTTTGACCTCGGAACTCAGTTTCGTGCTATTATATACTAGTTCTTTTGTTTTTTGTAAGTTGGTTTTTTTCTAAAATTTTGGTACCAGGTAATCGTCGGAAAGAGTTATTGAGCTATTAATAATCAGTAATTAAATTCTAGTAATTTTTTTTATTTTATAAAAAAATTTTATCTCTATCAAATAAAATAAGGTTTATTAAATTTGGAACAATAGTTTTAAAAAAAAATTAATAAAAAAGATTAAATTTAAAATTTTATTTTTGTTAATTTTTTAATCAAAACTGTTTCAAATTTCATCAAATTTAAATCAATAGATATCAAAAAAGAATTTCTTATAGTACTGTACACGTAAATTAATATTTATTCTAATAAATTCAAGCTCGATTAAAAATCTAATATGTGAATAAATTATTAATGAACTTATTCTTTATTTATTACAAGCTGTTAAAAATTTAAGAATATATATAAGTAATATGCAAATTTCTATTTTAACCCATCATGTGATTCATGGCTGATATTACTAGAGTAAATTTTCTGAAAGAATTTTGGTTGGTCAACTAACGCTAAATTTTAGTTGCATTACTATCATACTCAGGGCTGTTGGTGATAACTTATATAGTAATTTACCATGGTAAGTTACTATTTTTTGGTAACTTACGGTAATTTACCAATAACTTACTGGTAACTTACCGGTAACTTACTAGTAACTTACGGTAATTTTACAACTCTGATCATACTAGCCACAAATCACGTAGTAGGTTATTTTAACCTGTGTTAAACAGAACTTTCCTTCGTGCCATTTGATAGTTAAAATAACCTGGGTCAAAATAGAAATTCCCAAGTACAGGAATATATTAATAAATTACTTTAATAGTAAAAAATGGCTGATGAATTTGAGAGATTTTATCAGAAGATACAATAAATACTTTAAAAAGTATTAATGCTTAGCCACTTAATTATATCGCGAAAAGTAACATATCAATTTTTTCAGATTTTTACTATTCTGAATTTTGAAAATTATAATTTTCTAATAAATTTCTTTAGAGCACGATATTACATAATTTTAGAGCTCAAAAACATTTGAAAATACTCGTTTAATAATTTTCAGAGCAAAAAATGTAAAAAAAAAAAAAAAAAGATAAATTTTGTTTACTAAGTTTATAAGCAAAAAAATTAAGCATAAATAAAATTTTTTCAACTTATCGCAGGAAATAAAAATCAATTACATATATTACAATAAAAACTAAAAAAAAAAACAGATAAAAAAAAAAAACTCTTAATCTGAGTGATTCAGCATATATATCATTGGTGATTGTTACCAACATGTGATCAACGTTAGAAAAGTCGAAGCAAGATACTTGCCCGGTGGTTAAATTCTGATGAAAGTGATTCAAATGAACAGAGTAATCTAGAATAGAATTTAAAATCACCTGAAGGCTGCAAGTTGGAAGAATGAAATAACCTTAGAACGTGTTGTAATGAAAACTACAGCTAAACAATAAGTTGTTTTAAAAACCGAGTCATCTATAATTTAGAGACTCTGGTAGGTTTACAATAAAAATCAATAAATTATTTCAAGTTTATGCAAGGTAAAATTAATATAAACTATATAAATACGAGTATACAATCTGAGAAAAAAATTCAAGTAACAACCAAATATTTAGCAAATAAGTTCTGGCATTAATTACTCTATTCCATTTTCCTTAAAGATACAAACAAATGGCCAAATTTTTAAGGAAAATATTTTACATATTAATAATGAATTATTATCTGTAGAAAACTCAATTAGAGAACATCTTTTTGATCTTTGTAAGATTAATGAATACTTTTGAGAAATTGAAAGCGTGATTTATTTAATTCAATACTATTCTATTAAAGCTGCAGTGGAGGCACTTAAAAGAAAGCCAGATCAAGAAAATGCTTATAAGGTCTTTAGCAATTTGCGAATAAGCACAAATAATGTAATATTTTCGAAAGCCAATTATTTCTTAGAACACTGCTATAAAAATGGGGTTGGATGTAAAATAAATAAGAAACTAGCTTTATGTCATTTAGAATATGCAATAGCAATAGAAATTGGTGGCTAGATGATTTACTAAAAGCAGCTAAAAACAAAATTAATGAATTAAAATTAAAATAGTGGTTAGATTTGAATGTTTGATATCATTATATAGAAATTGGTAGTTTATTTAACTCAATTAGACTTTTTTTACTTAAGAGCTTTCATAAAAAAAAATTTATCATAGAACTTAATGAATTTTTGAAGTATACACAATAATAAAATGAAATGCAAATTCATTTCTCAATTCTAATTTAGCAATTTGACGAGAGGTCTTAGCAAATTGGGGACATTATATTTGGATGGGCCATTCGACTAGGCTGGTCGGATGTTGCCTATCAGCCAACCAAGTTTAGTTTGGTGCTAACCTTTTAGAATTTTTTCTATACTTATTTGTATTTAAGGTATAAATTTAAATACAGGAGCAAATCCAAAAAATTGGTGCTTATTTTAATATCTTTAAAAAGTATGCTTAATTAAATTATAGTATGATGATAATCATAAACGAACAATATTTTTTAAAAAACTCATAAATAAAGTAATTATTTGAAGTTATAGTATCTACTGATAATTTTAGATCATTCAAATTATACGGTGCGCATCACCTACCATCAAAAAATTTTCTTACTATATAAACATTTTAAAATTTCAGCATCATTAGCAAAAAATTCATCCAATCACTTTAACTTTATAATTAAATTTCAACAATTATAACTTAATTTGATGCAATTAGATGAATTGTACTATAGACGCAGGAAAAAAAAGTTTTGAGTAATGGTTAATAATATGAGCTAGGTGCTGATAATATAAAATAATTATCTTATTATTTGAACAAGCAATCTTATGAAAAATTTATTTATATAATTGTAATTTATTGTCTACTAAGCATTTGATTTCAATTAATTTTATCACGCGTATATACAATTGCAATCAATTAAAATTATTTTATTATTTGTGGAATATATCTTAATATGGTATATTCTTTATGAAAATTATTTTTTATGACATATTCTAAATTTAACATTAATTTTTTTACGAAAAACATCAATAGCGTGCATTCTTTTAATTAATATATTCATTCGTGATTTGAATTACAAAGTTTTTTTAAATTTTTGAATAATTCACTTTGTAGAATAATGTTTCAAGTTTTGAAAGTGCATTTGACAATATAAATTTGAGAAATGATCTCAATGAATATTTTTATATCTAAAGTTATTATTCATGATTACTCTTGTTTTTAAAATTTGTAGAACACCTAGGTGTGTTTGATGTTGGAGCTAAATTAAAGTTAATTTTATCATTCTCTTCATATTTTTCTTCATCTTCATTATTTTTAATTATTAACTTCATATCAATTGACTTAATTAACATGAAATTGTCTTATAACAATCTATAATATGTCATTAGAACTGGTACTAAATTAATTATTGATGCAGACGATGATGAGTTTTTTTGAATTGGTAATTCAACAATAGACAGTCTTCGTAGTCTATATAATGGTGGGTATTTTCTGTCAACAATAAATAACTCTAAAAATTCTTAAAAATAAAGTGGAATTTAGAGACAATTTTATTTAAATAAGAAAAACCAACTATTAGTAATAATTACCTGAGACTTGAAGAAGAAAAATGCTTAAATTTTGAAATTCTGAGTGAAGTTTTTCATGTTTAAAAACATAATACCTGTAACTATTATCCCATGAGTCTTTGCGAATTTTTCTAATTTTATCCTATCCAATTTCTTATGAACATTCACTTGTGCAGTATTCACAAAAGTACTATTTGAAATTTCTCTATATAAAAGTTCCCAATTATATCTTCCATTAGAATAAGTTCCAAATATGTCTGGTTTTTTGATTGGTCTATCATCTGAATCATTTCTTTCTCGTATTGCTTTACTCATAACATTATCCATAATTTTAAATGAAAAAACATATTGATAAGTTTTATTTTATTTGTAAAAATAATATTTAGCATTAAATTACCACGAAATTATTAAATCTGACAAATCAAACCCAATAAATTGGCAAATTGGATCAACCATATTATGAGCCCAGGTACTTTCATTAATAAGAGAACTTTTTGTTTTATAATTTGATGCCTCCCAAAGTAATATGTTTTGTATAAAGATAATTCAGGTTATTATTTCAAATTGCATAAATACAGTATAGAAATATTATTGAGCTTATATCTTATCTAATAGTGATTGTGTTCTAAACAATTTCTTGTCTTTTGTATTTACCATTGTTGGAATTTCTGTATCTTGTGATATGATATAATCTTCAATAAAGTCTTTAAGAAAAGGTGGCAATTTTTGTATTTAAATTTTTTCATTTAATTTATTCCAAATTCCATTAGAATGATATGTATTTTTGAGATTTTTATGATTGTTCTCTATAAATTGAGTATCCAAGATTCCTGAAAGAAGCAAATCATTCATTTTAAATTGGATATCATATATCATTTGACTGAATATTTTAATGATATCACTTACATCCTCATGAAATTGTAGCTGACAAATAAAAATAAATTAATAGCCATTTTGATACAATTAAGACAAACAAAAAATCAGATTTCAAATGCTAATTTAACCATATACATACATTATAGAGATATGCTTTTGCCTTCGCAAGTGAAAGATCTGGGCATATTTTGTTTAATAGATCTAACCATCCTCTAGTTCTGGCATAGCTTTCTAAATACAACCCATATTTCACATATTGATTGCTCTTTTTAACCTCCTTTATTAATTGAATAAATTCATCAAGTCATTTTGATTTTTTATTCTAGTTAAAAAAAAAATTATTATCAATATATTTGTAGTATAAAGATTACTATATAGTATATTATTTAATTCAGAAAATCAAATAGACACATAATAATCTAAATGCTTATTAATGCTAACATTAAACACCAAGAAATAGAGCTGTCATCCTTGTTATGAGTCATTATTACAAAATGAAAGTCATTCCAAGGAGGATTTTGAAAACAAAAACAGATGTTAGCAGCTATTAAATGTGTTTATTTAATATTAGAATTAATCACTAAATAAATAATGCTGTCGTCCTTGTACATGAGACATTTTATAAAAAATGAAGATCAAGTTCAAGGAGGATTTTAGAAACTAAAATCAGACATTAGCAAATATTTAGATAGTGTTCTGATATTTCTTGTGATAAGCATTAAGAATATTCATTTTCATCATCATATAGAATTGCCAAAAGTCAATAGGAAAGTATACTTTCTTTAGTTTTTTGATATTTAAAATATACTGAATTGATTTGTCTAAACAAAATTTTTATGTCATCATTAAAATTAATCATGCCTTTAAGGCCATCATATAACCAGAAATCGTAAAGGCAATGATATTTTTTGCTTGCATACTCAAAGTAGTCTTCTAATTTTGGTTTTTGCATAGTGACATAGCAGAAAAAAATTATGATAGTCGCTTAATATTTAAATCAAACTTTTAAATCAAAACAATATAGATCATTTTTTGGCAACTAAAATTCAGCAGATCGATTTATCGATCTACCCCAATGACAGTCCGGATTATTAAATTAGCAATTACAATTTTCTAGTGAGGTTTTCTCAATAACTACTTGATCAAATTTAGATTTTCTACTAATAAAACAATATGATTATAAAAATTTTCCAACATGAAAATTTATTAAATAAGAACTTGCTGCCAGTCTTGATTGTTGTCGATTTTAATATTAGGAGTGTAATCAGGATTAACTGAAGAGGTTTCCCCTTTAGTCTTGAAATGTAAAGATTTGTCTGTTTTGGGGGTTTTTTTTTTTGGTCCGGTCAGAGAAGAAAGTGAAATTGACTGTGGAACCATTTAAATGCTGATCATATATTTGAACTAGTTAAAAAATTTGGATTCTAAAAAATGGGGTGAGTCAACACTAATCTGATCTACGGTTCTAGGTTAACTATTTACGTAATTAAAAAATCTCAAATTTGATTAAATTAAACACTTCTGAAAAATAAGCCCCATGGCCTGCACTATGTCAATTTAGACCTGCATTATAATGATTTTGGCCTGCATTGTATGCAAAAAAAGAGTATTTAATTTGGAACAGTAACTATGCAGTAAAACTTATTCTGCATAATTCATAATATTTTCTATTTTTTTATAATTACAGTTACATGTCCTAATTTTTATGGCCAAGTTGTATATTGAAAAAGGTGTATTTGAAAATGCTTTCCTATTCAGCGCCCTAACTTCTGATGATTTTTTGGTAATATTTAAATAAATATACTTTAAATTCTTATTCCGATTTAACATACTTACATAAAAGTTTTTTAGGAATTCGTCCAAAAAACACCATTAAATTGTTTTAACCTTAAAACGTTTATAACATTCATTATTACAAAATCATCATCACATCTCATACTGTCACCGGATAATACATTATATTGGTTTAAGAGGGTTGTGTATCAGATATTTTCAAAGAACATTGCCATTAAAAATTACGAAAATGCAGAAAGAGAAGTCAACGATTTTAAGACCAAACAGGTAAATTTAATGACTAGATATCATATTAAGCCTATTAAATGATGATTAAGATCGTAGAACAACCAGATTTTTTTTTATCATTGTACCTTCCTTTATTTATAATTCAGGTGGATTGTTAATTTGTAGTTTCGGGCAACTGAACTTTATGATTAATCTTTCTTCATTGCTTTTATAATATTTGTTAAAGTTTCAGACAACCGGGCTTTATTATTTATTTTCTTTTTTATAAGATTTTTTGGGGTAAAGTTTTGGGCAACCGAACATTACCTCCTTACTAGAAATAAATTTTTGGGTAACCAAACTTTAATATTATTATTTCTTTTATTATATTTGAGTTAAATTCGGGCAACCGAACTTTAACATTATTATTTCACTCCCTTATGATACTTATTAAAGTTTGGGCAGCCGAGCTTTGATATTACATTATATTTTTATTCAAATATATCAAACTAATGATCGGTTTAAAACCAACGAGGACAGATATTTATTTTTAAATATTAACGAGTTATTATAAAGAATTGATTCTGTTAGCATTTTTTATTTTAGGTAGAAAGCAAACACTTTGGTTTCTGGTATCTGGTTGGAAAATGGAACCTCAAAAAGATAGTAAAAGAAGAATTCGCTTTATCACCACATCATCCAATTAATTTAAGAAAAAGAATTCAAGAATCCGAGAATCGTTTACGGTTTGCCAAACATGTCAAGGTATGTTATTATTGAGTATATGGAATTATTTTAACACCAATTTACTCAAATATAATTTGTTAAGCCAGTTTAAAACCAAATAATGAGTTTAATAAATTCATTGAAGCAGTCATAAGCTCTGATTTGGAACATTTGCCTGAAAATGAGCCACTCCAAACAACTTTGTATAATTGATGATAAATATAGATTTATTCTTCCTGATGATGCTAAAATTTGGGTTGAAAATAGTTGGGAGTTCCTTACAGACGACTTATCATCACCAAATCTAAATAAATTAAAGTATAACAGGGGAGATGAAATATTCTTTTTACAAATGTTATGCAGCATGTGAGGTTTTAATTTTGAAGTTTCTTATTAAACGTAATTCTGACAAGATTTATTTTAGTCGAAATATATTCTTGAAGTACAAAGACATCTCTATAACTGAAATTTCTGAAGAATCTTGGTTGACAGATACAATTTATCAATTTCTAGAAGCTGTTGTGCGTGATATTCCTGGGCTGTCTGTTCACTTGTAAGCAAGAAAAACTATTTTAATTTATAATAAAATTCTTGATAATCTAACATTTTTATATTTTAGCACATGTGCTACTCTTTCGAACACCTTAGAAATGATGAAAATCGTAAACCAAACAGAACTGTAAGATTAAAACTTGAAGACAACCAGTTCGAAATTCTATACGTAGAAGGTGCAAACCCAGAATTGAAAGGAAAAAAATGTCAAGAAGACGCAGAAAAACTTCAGCAACTTATTAAACTAAATCTTGACGAACTTCTAAGGGATTTTTAGCATACATATTGCAATAAAATAAATGAGGACATTGTAAAAAAAATTTATAATACTCCTCTTATTACAATTCAATTTACTCGTAGATATTATTATTATTATTATTGATTATTCCACAATTAATTTATATTATATAATTTATAATTTTACTCATTAAAATAAATATTTTTAGAAACATTATTAATTTCGACAATTAGTGACCAAAGAGCCCACCCATTGATATGCACTACTACTTTCCATAACATCAAAATACCATTTCCAACCAAAGATCACGTTTTATAGCTGTCCAGAGGGTTGAGATTAATTTCAATGATGTGGGAAATTCAAAATGTTTTAAAAATTGTTGTTAATAATTGGAGGAACATTTTAGATAGCATAGAAGAAATAACAATTATGCCAGCAGAACAGCGAGTAAAAATTGATGAAAATATTTCTCAATTTAGAAACTTTATTCCTGGGCACTATCAACTAATACAATACTTTTATAATTAAATGATCAGATTTTTATTTTTTGTATTAATGCCTACAATAAAAATCGAGAAATGGCTATTAATATTTATCTTAGTTACTTAATATTGTTCATTTTATTTACAAACTTGGCAGAAACTTGAATTTTTGCCATTTATTATTATCATATTATAGTTATATAACTATCATATAACAAAAATATGATAAAAAAATATTTTAATAAAAAAATATAATAAATACATATATGATAAACATATTACAGATATATGATAAAAATACTTTGCTAAAATCTTAAATTTTTGCGAAAGGGACAAAATATCCTATATTTAGTGTAAATTATTAATAATATAGGGCTCTAAGAGGAAATTTTCATAGCAAAGCTCTAATTTAGGCAAATTTAGTTTCTTACTAGCACTATTAACGAGGTTTTGACGAGGCTTTTTGACTGAGTATGAAAATTTTCTATTTTTTTATACTCAGTTCAAAAGTCTTATCGATACCTCATTAATAGTGCTAGTAAGAAACTAAATTTGCCTAAATTAGCTCTTTGCTATGAAAATTTCCTCTTAAGAGCCCTATATTATTAATAATTTACACTAAATATAGGATATTTTGTCCTTTTCGCAAAAATTTAAGATTTTAGCAAAGTATATTAAAAATATTTTAAACCTGTTAAGTTGCTATTAACACTATGATTTTCATATAATAATTATATAACTATCATATGGGCTGTGATCTGAGAAAAGGGCCGAAATTGACAAATTTTTCAAAAGATATTTTTTTATATAAATTAATTTAGAATAAAATTAGAATCATTTTTTACTTAAAACACAAAAGCAGTTGTATTAATAAAATTTTGCAGTATAGTTCTTTAAAGTTTGCTTTTTCTTATAATTTATTATAAGATTTACAATATAAAAATTGATTTTCTGTAGATCTTTTTTTTGTCAATTTTGGCCCTTTTCTCAGATCACAGCCCATATAATTATCTTATAACTATCATATTTTTTTTATTAAAATATTTTTATCATATTTTTATTATATAATAGCTATATAACTATCATATGATAATCATAAATGGCAAAAAATCATGTTTCTACCAAGAAAATAAAAAATAAAAATATATGCAAAAAAATAATAATAAATTATAATTTAAAATATATACAAGTTAAAATAAAAGAAATATATAATAAAAGTATGATATTTATGATTCTAAATTTGTTAGAACTTTTATTCTGTTCTATGATTTCAATTCGCCGAGTCAACTCTTCATTACATTGAGTTGATACGATTCGTTTACTCTCGACAAATTGAATTAAATCTAAACTCAAATCCAGTTCATCTGTAAGGATAAGATTGAATTCGGACGATTCTACTCTATCTAATGATTTCTGCATAAAATTATTCTTTGATGGGGCTATTAAGATACCGATAGTTTCTATTTTACCGAATCTTGACAATACACCTTCAAACTCATACACCATCTTAGGCCTAATTTTATCACAATCCTTATCGTTATAAAATAAAAAAAAAACATTTAATATCATAAAATAAATTATATTAGATTATATGCCTTTGGGGTGTGTATAGTAATGATCATCAATCAATTTTTTTTATAATTAGTGATAGTGACATTAAAAAAACACAATAAGAGAAGACTAATGCTAATAAATGTATTTTATTTATTAGTTCAAGAGACATCACAATTTAACTATCGCTAATTATATAAAAAAAAAAAAAAAATTGATTAATGATCATTACTATCGCTAATTATAAAAAAAATTGATTAATTATCATTACTATATCACCTGCTATACCTTGCATTGAACGATTATTGTATATTCTCTCCAGCCTCCTATCCAATAAATACCTCCATCGCCTGGTGCGTGTCTATTAGAATAACAAATAAAAAAAAATTGAGCATTTATCTTCATTATCGTCAAGAATCAAGAAGAACGTTCACAATCATATTTGATTAGGCCACGAAGAGCTTTCAATTCTTGATCTATGTATCCTATTCATCACAGCTCTAGAAATGACTTTTCGATAACATGAGAAGAATGTTCATAACCATGTTGACCACATAATTATGGCCACGATGAGCTTTTATTCTCATGATTTATATCTAGTGGCAGCGCAACTTCAGCTACATAACAACTAGACAATGACTCAGTGAATACTCACTCAAATCTACGTAATTCTATATTCATGTTTATAAAAATAATTCTAATTCTATCTTCAAAACCTTTGCCATTCTTACGCAGTAACCTTTTTCTACTTCTTTCCTCAATACTTTCAAATTCTGTCTCACTTTTTTGAGCAACACCAAAGTTAATGGGAGATATTTTTAAAAAATTAAAAAACTATTACATACTTAACTATATTGCTTATCCCTTTTTTCTTTGTATTATTTCGCAAAAAAAACAAGTTTCAAGCATGAATAATAGCTAGAAAAAGGTTGTAGATCGATATACGATAAGATTAAAAATCAAAGTTAATTTGTAGGGTGATTAACCATTGACAGACTTATTCAACCTAATCGTGACCCAAATATATTTTTATAGATATACTGCGAGAAAGAAAATATTAAATCTGTCGAATATTGATTTGTATGTAATAATAGAATAAAATAAAAAATTCCTTGCATGGTCACTTAACACGAATTATGTCATTTTAGTATTTGTAATACCTAGACTCGATCTGGCCGTAATCGACAAAATTTTGGCCCGCATTATACATAATTTTGAGCCCAGGAACATTAAAATATTATCACAAGATAAAGATATTTTTTAAGTTTTTACTATATTATTTTTTTAATGCTAGTAACTTTCAAGATTCCACCTTTATATAAACTAATAGTAATACTGCGCCGTATTTGACTATAAAATTTCAAATATATTAATCAAAAAATAAAATAAAAATAGAAAGTTTAAAATAATTTAAATAAATAAAAATTTTTCAATAGAATCGTGACAATATTATCATAGTAATGACGTTCATTCAAAATCAAATGCAATATACAGTACTTTGTCTAAAATATCCTAAACCATTTTCACTTGTTGCAAATTTTGAAACTCACGACTTATTTTAGTTCCGACTTTATACGTATTTCATTTTCATACTCAATATTCATTATACTGTATTTTCGAACAAGCCTTTCTAACTATCGCATAAATATTATTATATACTCCAATCGGCTTGTATTAATTACTGTATCAACAACGTAATTCACTATATAAAAGAAAGAATTTTACATAAAGTATTAATTTCGCAATGTCGTATTGATTGTACAATATTCAGATATTGCAACGAGTCGATAGAAGGCCTATACAAAGCAAAATATAGTACCAAATTTTATCTTTAATTAAAAAAAAAAATTACTAGCTAGCTTAATTTATCCAAACTGTCTGAACGAATAGTATCATCAGCAAAAATATATATGCGTAAACTTTCGTAAGTTTTTACGGTGCGTAAGAAAATCGTAAACTTACGTAAA